GTGCCTGGAAAAAAGGCAGAGTGTAGCCAGTTCGAATCAGCTTGTCCATCCGAACGTTCATGGACAGCTGCTCTTGCCACAGTGCGTAACACTCCGACAGTGGATGGCATTCGTACGCGGTCCACTCTGGTTAACAGCACCTGCAGCTCTGCCATTGGCGCAGCGGAGCTCGCAGGTGGAGTCATGTCAGGTTCCAGCATGCCGCTGAAAGCAGGGGGGTGCCTGGAAAAAAAGAGTATAGATGGTTTGAATCAGCTTGTCCATCCGAACATTCATGGACAGCTGCTCTCGCCACACCGTGTAACACTCCGTCAGTGGACGAGCGCTCGCGTGCATTGCCGCTAGCCACTGATGCGCCCTCTCCGCCATTGGCAGACAGCTGGGCGTGGCTGTAGAGAAGGCTAAGTCAAGTGCACCCAAAGGACAGACAGGTGGCCTGCCTCCTGCCAAGAGACATTGCCTGGGAAGCAAGATCAGGAGATGCTTGGTCCCTGCGGCAGAAAAAGGCAGGAAGCCAAGTTGGCCAGATGCTCTGCAGCGCCGTCTGTAGAAGCCACACATCATGTCGGTGGCCCGGAGAAGACAGCTGTGTCTCAGAGGTAGGGTCCACAGGGGGTGTTGGCAGCGCAGCTGCGCCCTCCATTGTGGGGAGAGCTCATAAAATGAGCACCCCACTCAGGATTTATTCATCACACTGTTAGTCGCTGCACCTGCCTTGGATGCACGTTAATGAATGCAGGCTGAGAGGCGAGCAGTGACCTGGTTCTGTGAGCAGACGGGTGGCCCGCCTCCTCCCAAGAGACATCGCCTGAGAAGCAAGATCTGGAGATGCTTGGTCCCTGTGGCGGAAAAAGGCAGGAAGCCGAGTTGGCCAGATGGGGGCTCTCACTCCGCAGCACCGTCTGTAGAAACCACACATCATGTCTGATGGGGGGGGCCGGGCAGTCAGCAGGGGAGATCAATGCCCCCACATCTGCCGCCTTTGATGATTTCCGTCAGAAGTGCAGCAGAGCCCCGAAAGCCAGAGGCTAGCTGGCGGCGGGAGCAAGCAGCTGAACCAGAGGAGGCTCACTCTGCCGGCGCCCACGTTGACCAATAGATCGAGGGAGAGCCAGGGGAGCCAACAATGGCAGGGAGTGAGTCAGTGGACTAAGGCCCACTCACGCCGAGAAGTCCAGGGGGGCATGCGCTGTCACCCTGGTTAGCCTAGTCTAGCCTAGCCTAGCCACCAGCTGCAAACGCCGGCACTTCTCCGCTGCAGGAAGAGGAGGCTCACTCTGCCAGCACCCACGTTGACCAATAGATCGAGGGAGAGCCAGGGGAGCCAACAATGGCAGGGAGTGAGTCAGTGGACTAAGGCCCACTCACGCCGAGAAGTCCAGGGGGGCATGCGCTGTCACCCTGGTTAGCCTAGTCTAGCCTAGCCTAGCCACCAGCTGCAAACGCCGGCACTTCTCCGCTGCAGGAAAGCGAGCACCAAGGGGGGCAAGCTGCCTGGGGGAGAGTGCTGGCTTGGCATGTAAGCATGTTATGAAATCCAGATCGCAGCCTGGGCACACGGTGACAGCAGCATGGCACTGGAGTCTGGCAGTGAGGAATGGCTCTCAGCCATGATAAAAGGGAATATACTTACTCATGATGTTTCTTCTTAGACTGCTGAAGAAAAAGAGGGAGTCGATCACAGGTCATTGTGGCATTTATGCCATCGCAGCGGACCTGTTTTGGGGACAGCCCAGTGCAGGGCACAGGGCGCGAAAGAATCTCTTCAGGACTGTGCATACACGAGGGATAAACCCAATAGCGACAGCTGTTAGAGGGCAAAGCCTATATGAAATAGAAGTAATGTGAAATAAGTGATTGCAAAAATATTCACCCCCTTTAAAATGACTGACCTAATTCAACAGAGGTCCAGCCAATTGGTGCTAGTAGTCTTACAATTAGTGAAATGGGGATCACCAGAGTGCAGTGAATGTGTCTCAAGTGATTGTAGTATAAAGACACCTGGTCCAGTCACTGGTTAACCAGTATGCCTGGCTACCATTACACCATGAAGACAAAAGAACACTCCAAGCAACTCAGAGAAAAGGTTATTGAAAAATATAAGTCGGGGGATAGATGCAAAAAAATTCCAAGGCAGTGAACATCCCCCAGAGTTCAGTAAAATCCATCATCAAGAAATGGAAGGAATATGGCACATGTCTAAATTTGCCTAGATTAGGCCGTCCTCACAAACTGAATGACCATGCAAGGAGACTAGTGAGAGAGTCCACCAAGACACCTATGACTACTCTGAAGACGTTACAAACTTACAAGCAAGGTAGAGGGTAAAATGAATGCGGTAAAATATAGGAAAATCCTGGAGGACAATCTTATTCAGTCTGCAAGAGAACTACAGCTTGGGAGAAGATTTATTTTCCAGCAAGACAATGACCCGAAGCATACAGCGAACCCTTCACAGAAATGATTTAAAGACAACAAGGTGAGTGGGAGTGGCCGAGTCAAAGCCCAGACATCAATCCAATAGAGAATCTGTGGCTGGACTTGAAAAGGGCTGTTCACGCCCGATCCCAGCGCAGCTTGGCAGAGCTTGATGTCAAGTTTGCCCGGCTGCACCTGTCTCTCTCACCTCCCGCACTCTGGTTCCCTTTTTCTTCGGCCCTGATTAGCACCAGCTGCACCTTATTAGTTCTGCCCCTACTTATATCCCGCTCACCTATCACTCCCTTGCCAGTTCAATCTTGTTCTCAGGCCCCTTCTATCGTTGTTGTATTTTACCATTTAGTCTTTCATTCTCCTAGCTAATACCAGTTCAGTCTTCTGCTCCCCGTCTTTTCCTCTGGACCCTGGACCTCCTCTGCCCTTCCAGTCTCCTCGATTCAGGTCTATTCAGTCACTATTAATCATCTGTACAAACTCCTGCCTTCTGTCTCCGCAGTTACCACCATTTCCGCATTGACCAGTTCAGGAGTGACCCCCAGCGTCCGCAGCCCGGCCTACTCCCATCCATCTCACCACAAACTGGTTTCTCTGCTGCTGATCGACACCCGGTTACTCCCATCATTATACACCTGCTTGTCTTTTTTCTTGTCTTTTCCACTGCACTGTAATTAAATTCAGCACTGCTTGCACCGAAGTCAGCTACCTGGGTCCATCTATCTTTTACTCACTCACTTCCCTGTCCGAGCAAACATAACACTCGAGCAGTTTTGCAAAGTCGAGTGGAGTAAAATTGCAGTATCCAGATGTGCAAGCCTGACTGAGACCTATCCACACAGACTCAGTGCTGTGATTCCAGCCAAAGGTGCATCTACTAAATACTGACTTGAAGGGGTTGAATATTTATGCAGTCACTTATTTCACATTACATATTTTTATTATTGTCATTATTTTGTAGAAACCTGTTTTCACTTTCACATTAAAGAGATTTTTTTATCATTTGTTTTTTGTCAAAAAAGCCAAATTATATTGACTATGATTGATTTATAAAATCAATAAAGGGGTAAAACATCCTAGGGGGTGAATACTTTTTATAGGCACTGTATACATTGATTAGTGGTAAACAAAAAAAATATCCCCTGTTGATTTATAACTATGTGGCAGGATGCAGTAAATTGTGGAGTGATGTTCCAGCCCTGACAATGACCTCTGGCTGTGTTTTTATCCTAGATACATTTGTCATTGCCCTCTGCATATTAAAACAGTTGCTTTTCCCATTCACTGAATCCTACAGCCAGCAACAAAGTGTAATTTTGTCCCATTAGACTGCTCTTCTTCTGCACAACTTGCTTTCAAAACAACACTAACTGTTATTTCCATGGTTAATAGCATATTGTCAAATCTATAAACCATTGTGAAACAACATTTCAGTGTTGTTACTATAGTTATAACTGCCTTATTACACAGCGATATAGTTTACTTTAGGTATGCAATGGCATCTCAGCCTTTCCCAACAGGACATATAATCTGACTGTGTGGACAGAAGTTTGGCAGTCCCACAGGACTGTGGTCCATGTGACCAGACTAAACAAGCCCTCTCTGACACACACACACATACACAAAATCCCCTTAGTGGGCCAAAGTTCAAAAACTGCATACAGACACCTGCAAGCAATTAGACATCCACATGCAAAGCTGCAAATGGTTACTTTAGGACACTTTGTACTTTGTCACTTCCCTCTTCTAGCTTAACTGTCTGGGTTCATTGCTAGCAACAAAGGGGAGGGGAACGAGTGATGACACCTACACCTACCCACCCCATAAACATGTATGCACACACTCACTTCCACTGCCCATGTGCTACACCATGTGTACAACCAGACATCACATCATTACCTCATCAAACCAGCATCCCCACAGTTTATTATTTTAAAATGTGCAGTCTGTCAGTTTCCCTTTGGGTTACTTTGGTTTTTCATTCACATAAAGCTGAAAAATTATGACTGGTTTCAAGCACTTTGTCCTTTATTTTTTTCATGGTTTTTTCTTGAGAAGAATGCTGAACAATCAGGAAAAGCAACATTTTAATGTTTTAAACTGAGAAAAAAAACTACAGTACGTTTAGTTGCCTGAAAGCATGTGTTGGCCAAGTGTGATGTCTCACGTGTTGTCTCCAGGCTCAGTTGAATAGGATGCTAGGGCCTTCCCTCCCTTAACGACCTCCCCAGACTTCCCAGTGTTTCCTTCATATTTGCATTCCACAAAAGCATATTTTCAGACACTGAATTCTTTTTGAAGATCAAAAGCTAAATGATAGGAGGACCTGGCTATACTTTTCAGTCATCTGTACTAAAGAACAGTTTATTCTGTGCAGAAATCCTGTGCTTGGAACAGGAATAACAGCTCAGCCTAAAGTTTTGCATGCCTATATTGTGTAGAATGCTCCTGGTTTTCAGTGACAGTGAAGTTACAATGCAGACACAATGCACTCCTATGTTTCATAAAAAAAAACTGTTGTAGTATCAGCTGGGTAGATAACCATTGTCCCTTTCTTTGCTCTCCAGTAAACTTCCAGATGATCCCACAGCAGAATGGAGCATCCCTTTGGTCTCTTCTGTAATTGTGAAGCACATAAGAGCCCACTCCTTCAACTTGGTATGCTTGTCTCTGCATCACAATTTGGCCTTTCAAAGCAGTGGATCACCAATGCCCCGAGACAAAGAAGTCACACACAAACATCTTCTCTAATGAGTATAAGCAACAACTAGATGTGAAAAGTAGTAGACTATGTCTGAGCATACTAAAATGCCAAGACTTAAGTTAAGCATCTTTTCTCTCTCTTTGACCTGATTTTTTTTTTTACTTGCTTCATCTTGTGTGCACATAGAAAAAAGCTTTTTAAATATCAGTTGTCAGCTGCCAAGCAGATCTAGTCAGACACAGAAACTCTTCCACTAACTCAAGAAAATCTCTCCCTCTCTGTTTTGCTTTGGTTTATTTGAATTCACTTTTAGATGCCCAGATTCTGGCTTTTGACCTCCACAGTGAGATATTTTGTTGTTCCAGGTCCTGACCTTCGATGGAAAAGGAGTGAGTGGCCATGCCAATCACAGAGCCATCCATAAGGCTGTCAGGTACAGACTGAACTTTAAGGCTTTGCCATTAGAAAAATATGTTTTGAAATCTGTCATCTTCAATATGCTGCCCTTGGGGATATTAACCAGCCCACTCCATGGTCATAAAACACTATACAGGAACATGCAGAACATTTAGACCCACATCCATAGCCAGCTCTCCAAATGACTCCCCACAAAGACACACATGCACACTGTGTTTTTCAGAATTGGGCTGTTACATAGCTGAGAGGTCATCCAAACAGAGTCCTCAGAGGCACTGGGCTCTGCTCCCAGAGAGCAGCAGTAAATACTGTCCCTGAAGTGGTGAGGTGGGAGGGCAGCTCTGGTTTGGAGAGGCCAACCAAGCAAGTTGCATCAGATTGTTGGTTTAAAGAAAGCTAAGTGCACTTCACAGTGCAAAAGACAGTCCCCAGATTGCTCATTGAGCCTGTATGGCTCTTTGTCAGTCTGCCTTATTTGTTGATAAGATGTGAGCTCTCCAAATCGCATCTCATGATTCCCATAAGACTAGAACCCAGAGGGGCTTTGTACTAGTTCCACAGTGCTCTAAATCTCAACAGTTTAGATTTTGTCAACATTTTAAAAGTTATGAAATGGAAGCTTGGCTGTGTTCCCACCGAGACTTGAGGATGAGTTACTGTAGCAGGAGAGTAATACAAGAAGGGGAATTATGTTAACTGCTACACTGAACAGAACCCTGCAACACCCAACACAACATGAACCCACCCAGAACACACACAGCGGTGGATATGGCCTTTTCTGTGGGTTTACAGTCACTGACCTTTTACCCATTTATGTTGTAATCACTGTTATCAAAAAAACTCCAGTCTCAAGTACATATGGCACATGGAAACATGATACTGGCTTTTGCACCAGGTACCAACACAAACCCTATCAATACGATGCATTCTTTCAGTGGATAACATTTTTTTCTCTCCATCTACAGCCATCTCGCTTCTACTGGACAAGTACCCAATGGTAGGTTTGACAGAAAGAAAACTTTCAAGAGGTTGTATTACTTATTGAGCTTTAAGTAACACTTTAAAATAAAGACAGGCAGCTTCACAATCAGGCAAATGACTTCCTTTCATGAGAAGGCACCACCTCCCCATTTCACACAATGAGAACCCTGGAAAGTAACATAAAGCCAGACTGGGTGTTTTGCTGATGTACAGCACCCTCTTCTGCTCAAAAAGGCTGCACGAGTCTTGTGTCTCCTATGCTTTTTGGTCTGCTGGTAGTAGCAGGAGGCCAGTTGGGTATATGTATACGTCTGTTTCTTTTTCCAAGTGTGTGCCCTCAAATTACAAATGTTTCTCAATAATGTTAAAATTGGTATATGTCCTCATACATCTTTACAGTCCAGGCATGATCAACATTTATGCCAATGTGTCTTTTTAAATTCAACCCAGATAAACAGAATTTTCACTTTCATTTGCTTCTGAAAGGTCGTATTATGAGGCCAATGGGGATTTTTTTTTAACAGAATGTAAAAGAAAAAGTAGGACAGTGGATAGGGGCACATGTTACAACAGCATATTTTCTGAGTTTCTTAAAACATTCCAGCCCATAGAGCACACCTATATTAAACTTTGAGTAGCATGATAAGAAACAAGCATCACAGGGCCATGTAACTAATCATCTTTGAATAGTAGTATTATGAGCTTGCCCTGCCCTCTTTAGCCTGCAGTCTGCAATGAACAATCTTAAAAACAGTAAGGGTATCATTAATGTTGCTCACTGGTTATTTATTACCAGGAACTTACACCTCACCTCTCTGACTGCAGCCTGTAGAGGAGGCGTGAGAGAATTAGGCCTAGTGTGACTGTGATAAGCTTCTTCAACTTGACTGTACAGCAAAACTTTCTGCATTACTAACAGCTTTAAGGTGTCCCACAAACTCCTGCTGCATGACATTTTTAGTGCCATATTATAATGGGTTCTTTGGTTTTACTGACTTTTGATAATACCTATATCTCACATAAGCACAGCAAATGCTGCACAGGTTGAACAGCTTGTGTATGCTCTCTATAGGATGGCCTAATTAACAATAACATCAACAGTGATCTGGGTCTCTGCCTGTTCTCCCAGACTGCTCTTTGCTCTCCCTGGTGACTGTCGGTCTCTTCAGAAAGTACATATCCTTCCTGGAGCTTCCCATCAGCTGGCTGCTGCCCTCATGTCTCTGCTGCATTGTAGGTTCCCGTGGCTACAGGCAAGCTAAAGTAAGACAGTTTGTTAAAAGGTTTGTTGTAGCACACTGTCACAATAGTATACAGTAAAAGTATTCAGACCCCTTCATGCTGGCATCCACACAACTCTTTAGCTATTCATAATGTAAACAAGTTTTTGATATCTTTTATAGCCACACTCTAATAGTCCTAATCTCTCTCACACACACACACACACACACACACCCCTACTTGTTTTTTATGTGGGGACTATTCACTCACACACACGTGTTTGTTTTCCCTACTTTGTGAGGCCTGCTGACACATAACTTCATTTTTTGATTTCATCTTACATACAGTAATTATTGAACCTTTCCTTTTCTTCTTTCATAATTATTCAACATTTTTTCAACTTCTACAATTGTTCAGCATTGCATCTCATCCTTCAGCCATTTCAACAAAGAACTTCGGCCATTTCTTCTCATCCTTAAAGGCCTGCTGACACATAACTTCATTTTTTGATTTCATCTTACATACAGTAATTATTGAACCTTTCCTTTTCTTCTTTCATAATTATTCAACATTTTTTCAACTTCTACAATTGTTCAGCATTGCATCTCATCCTTCAGCTATTTCAACAAAGAACTTCAGCCATTTCTTCTCATCCTTAAG